TCTCGATCGATGTATAGATCAGCCATGTTTGGTAACACAGTAACTCTTTGATCTAGGGGGGGTTCTCTGGAGACCCCCAACCTGTCAGCAGGACTGCTGGGACCTGCCCCCATGTCTTCAGCTCGGGCAGCAGGAGGGACATCCTCCAGCTGGGGTAAGACACTGATGAGGAGGAAGTGAAGAAGAATTTTTCCCTCTTCTCCTCCTCCCTCTTCTCCTCCTCATCATGTCTCTCACATATAGTGTAAGTGAAGTTGACTCAGTGGGTTTGTTTGTTTGTCAGGAGGAGGATCTAGTTTGTCAGGAAAGAACCAGCTGGGACAGAACAAGGTCAGTATGATCAGAGTCTATGAATGTATCCATGAGGACTCACGCAATCTGAGTGTTTTCTGTGTTTGTGTAATTGAGTCAAAGCTGAGTCTTTACGTTGAAGTTGTTGTTCGTCCTCAGCTGAGAAGCAGAGTTGTGGTGGTGAAATACGCCAGGAAGCCTCTGAGCAACAAGACTCTGTTCGCCTTCACTGAGCCGTTCGGCTGCTTGAGGGAGCACCTGGTCCTCAACAACAAGGTCAGGAAGCATCTCCACGTCTGCTTCAGTCACAACATTTGTACTCTATGTCACTGGCGTGGAGACGTAACAAAGAGTACGGCGTTCAGGTTTTCCGTCGTTATGTCGGTACGTCCGTCACATTCTAATGAAAACTACGTCTCAACGCCTTGTGGGATCTTTTTTGTTGATTTGGTAAAAATGTTCACATGACTCAAAGACGAACTGATAAGATTCCGGAGGTCAAAGGCCACAGTGACCTCATTGTTGAGAATGTTATATGTCGGGAACATCTGAAACTAAACGAGCCCAGGACATCGTTCATGCTCTTTTAGTGTAGCGTTAAGCCTTCTCGCTGCAGAGGACACACACCTGATCACCTCTTTGTCTCCATCAGGCGTTCTTAGAGATGAACAGTCACGAGGAGGCTCAGGACATGGTGAACTACTACGATCAGCATCCTGCAGCTCTGTACGGCAAACCCATCACCTTCTACCTGTCCAGGAGGCTCATGGTCATCGAGGTAACCATTCGTTTTATGATACATCAAAACGTCCCTCAGCCTCAAACACTCACAGTTTTGTATTTAACCCTCAGAAAGAAGGTCGGTCGTCGGACACGTTGATGGACAGGCCTGTCAGGGAGGTCAAAGGTCACGGCAGCCAGGTGGTTTTCTTCTCCAACCTGCCCAGAGAGGAAGAGAAGAAGAAGGAGCTGCTGACCATCGCTGGACGCTTTGGCATTGTGGAGAAACACCTGTTTTTAACTGACCAGGTAAAGGAGGAGACGTGTTCCTGTCTCTCACTTTTATTTAATGCACCCTTATATTTATAGATTACATTAATTAAATTATATGTAGAAATAATTCTGAAAAAACAAAGTTTCAAATGTTTAAATTACCTTCAACTTAAATTCTCATTATAATAAAGCAGTGCAGTGTCACTGAGCCACAGCGCCCCCTGCAGCCACACATGACGAGCTCTGTTGGTTTCTGTATCTGATGAAGTGTTTGAATCAATGTGCTGAGCTCTGAACGCTGGATATTACCCATGATCCTCTGCTTCCTGACCCAGCAGAGCTGCTGCTGTAACAAATCCACCGAACTGTTCCGAGTTCTTCATGTTTTAAAGTTTCTGCTGAACACTGGAGATAAACTCTGGTTGTTAAGAGCTGATCTCAGTTCAGCTTCACTCTTCCACTGGAGCTGATGGAGACTCTCA